CCAGCTCGCCCAGGGGCCCTCGGCTGCGCCCGGATGTCCCGGAGCCAGGCAGCGGTGAGCGGGAGGAGCCCGCGCCCCGGGATCGGGATGACCCTCCTCGTCCTGCTCGGACTAGGTGAGAGCCAAGGGGAGGGCGGAGGGCGGAGGGCCCGGGGTTCACACTGTCCCGCGCCCGGGGCTCGCCGGGGTCTCCGAACCGTTGTCTCCACGGGACCCCGGAGAGAGCCGGACTCCTCGGTCCCTGCCTCCGGACCACCGAGGAGCACATCTGGCAGCCGAGGGCCGCCCAGTCGGCCATCGAAAACGTTTCACACATCTGGGCCCCGGAGCAGGCTTGGGGGTGGGGGTGTTTCCTGGCCGAGTTGGCCGAGAACCGCTGGGTGTGGAGGGCCCTTTCTGGGGTGGTGTTTAGTTTCAGGAGGATCTGGGGAAACTGGAGAATTGGGGAAGAGAAGGTTTATTCAGGAATTTTCGTGCCAGGTTCCTGAGGTTTGGTGGGGGGAGCTTTTTTGTTTTAGACGCCTGGAGGGCCCAGATTAGAAACAGATGTGTTGGAGGGTAAGCAGCGGGAGGAGGGAGGAGGGCGGGAGCAGGAGAGGGGAAAGGGCAGAGCACCGGGAGAAGCTGGAAGGTGCAGAGGAGAAGCCAGCCTGCGAGGGAAGAAGAGGGGAAAGGGAAGGGCTGGAGGGAAAGAGAAAAGAGGGGGATGTGAAGCCGAGCAGCCAGACTGAGGGGGACTGAGGGAGGAGTGTGAAGCCGGAGAAAACCTGAGCAGAGGAGCAGAACAGAGGGAAACAGGTTCTGGGGCAGAGAGAAGTGTTGCCCGTGTGTCCCTTCTGGGTGTCACCCAGCCAGGACTCCTGAGGCCTCCCAGGCCCTAAGGCACAGACTCCCCCGGGGTTGGAGGCAGGGAGGTTTACAGGACAGGGCAGGACAGTGCGCATCAAGGATGTGTGCAGCCAGGAGCTGGCAGGAGGGAGACAGCTCCAACAGGAGATGCCAGGGCAGGGGAGACTAGCGGGGATCAGGGGGGAATGAGAAGTCATGCTAGGCACCAGGAAAACGGCTACACCTGGGGCCAGGACCAAATGTGAGCCCAAGTTCAGAAAACCAAAGAGCCAGAGGGCATGGCAGAGTGAATGCTGCCCTGGAGACCAGGCCAGTGGAGAACCAGTCCCGGTTTTGAACTGACTAGCTGGGTGACCTTGGATGGCTTACCCACCACCCAGGCCTTCGGTTTCCTTAGCTCCAAAACTAGCATACAATATGGTTCCTAAGTCTCTTCTACCTCTGACAGCCTAAAACACCTGGAGTGTGATGGGGGGCTGATGGGTAGAAAACCCCCAAACAGAAGTGAAGAGGTGCTAAGATATAGGTCTCTAGAACTCTGTCTCACTTTGAAACCTCTCAAACCAACTGGGCCTCCGGCCAATAATAACCCATCACCCAGGTTAGAGAAATAAAAGAGGTGGATTAGCCTAAACTCTTGCTCAAGTAGGACAGGTGAGGAGCCACTATTGTCTAAACTCTTTTAAATACCAGCCAAGTATTGCAGTACTGCTCCTGAGCACAGCGGGCATATCTGGGTGGCACCTTTGTCACCTATATGGCCCCTGCCCCTAAGCTACCAATTACCAGACATCAGGACTCAAACATCAGAGCAGCCTTATTAAAAACAGCTGGAACTCATTAAGTACTTCTCAGGCTGAGTGTGTTACATGGGCTGTCTTGTTAACTCATTTATTCTTTACTACAATGCTATTGGCCACCTAATATTATTATCCCCATTTTACAGATGAAGAAGTCAAGGTGTAAAGAGGTTGGGTAACTCGCTCAAAGCCAGATGCTCATAATTAGCAGAGATGGGATTGGAATGTAGGTTGTTTGCCTCCAGACATTGCTCGCTAATCCGCCATGTATACAGCCTTCTGGCACTGCAGGACTCTTACCGATGTTCTCTGCAGTGAAATCCATGTCAGTGTGATCCTGCCCTGAGGAAGGGGCCTGGGGAAGGGACACAAAACTGAGTGTTTGAGCACCTGCTCTATACCAGCCCCATTCTGGCACAGTTTCTGGTGGAAAGTGAACAGTGACTTTGGTCCACGTGGTCAGTTGAGATCAGCTGGCCTGGATGATGGTCAACCTCTTAGTCCATGAAAAGGAGGACCTGACCAAAACAAGGATCAAAAGATGTCCCTGATTTCCTGGCCCTTCCTGATTGAGTGCCTGCTATGTGTAATCATTCCTCTGGTGAGAAAACAATCTGTGGCGTTGATGCTCTGTCTTTCTCGTAGAAGCTGTCTCTCATGATTTTGGGGGGAGAGGGGGGTTGTGGGGGTTCGGTCTTCATAAAATTGTTACAAACCAGAGGCCACGTAGAATAGAAAAGGGGGACCACTCACTGACTTAGAATTCTGCAAAACTGGGTGTTCATCCTTCACACCTACTGTTAAGCTTCTGCCACACTGTTGACTTTGTTAGACTCATGATATCCCAGCTATCAATTGAATACAGTGTTTAAGGAAGAAGTCATAGAGGAGATGAGCTGCAGGATCAGGACGAGGGACAGGGTAGGAGACCTGAGATGAGGCTGGTGAGCCAGAGGCCAGCACCTGAGGGGAGAAACACTGAAGGAACTGACCTCCCTGCATGGGTCAGCAGCCCCTGTGGGCTGGATTAGCCTTATTTGCAAAGTGGTTTTGAGCCATGGGATACCTGGACATGCTTTAGCAAAGCCAGAAAGAAAGCCCTCAGAGTCGCCTAAATCCTAAAATCATCTCCTGCCTGCTCCCTGAAAGCAGCAGTTCCAGGGCTTCTTCTGAGCACTGCTGGCATGATCTCTGGCCTCTTTGTTTCTAGAGAAAGCACAGTAGTGAAGGGGAGTTGGGAGGGCTAAGAGTTCATAGTCTGAACAGTGATGGACCAGTTGACTCCTTGCTTTCTGGACCCACCAGTGAGGGTGAAATCAAATGTCCCGCCTCTCTGATGTGAATGAAGAAGGAATGCTCTGAGTTCTACAGAGGGAGGAGAAAGGAAGGGGACCTCGTGGGCTCCCCCAGCCCCTCCTCTGACCACCTCCCCTCCCCCCTCCCTAGATGCTCAGGTCCTCATTATCCCGCCTGAGCTTCTTCCTGGATTTCTGTGACAGCTGCCGGGTGGTCTCCTGCCCGAGCTGTTTCCTCGCCATGCTGCGTACCACTGCCGCCACCCGAGTAACCTAGTGAAACAGCTTGGGTGATGCAAAGAATTTGGATTAGGAATCTGGTGAGCTCTGTGTTCTTGTTCTGACTCCCTTGTCTGGAAAATGGGGGTGGAGAAATCTTGAATACAAAATTTCTCTAATTCCAGGGTCATAGTCTGTTCCTCCATAAACCTTTAGTAGTCTCCATTACTTACAATGTCAAGTACAAGCACTTCATCCTCATATTAAAGATTTTACACCATGTCACTCACAGCCCCCCTTTTCCCCACGCCTAGATGATTGTCCAGGAGACCTGGATTACTTCCTGTACTCTAAACATGCTGCATGACTCTCCACCCCTTCTGATCAAAATCCTGTTCATCCTCCAAGTTTCACCTCGAATACCACTTCCTCCATATGCCCGTCCACGATCTCACTGATGGAACGGACTTTCCTTCCTTTGAATTGCAATAGCCTTTCTATCATGCTACCTTGTATTTTAGTGATTCAAATGCTTATCCAACACCCCAGTTCAAGTGTTAGCTCCATGCCTCATTCATCGGTGTACCACTTTCAGAACCTTTCATAAAATAAAAGCTTGTGAACTATTAAGATAATTGGATTTTTGAAACATTTAAGGTCAAGAAAGGTGAACGATCTGGAGTGTTACTACTCTTTGACTGTAAGACAACACAATTGTGAGTCACCCAATTTTAACTCAGTTTACTTTTGTGTTTCTTTGTCCATTACTGCAAATACAAACAGTACTTTTTTTTTTAATTATACATAGAACATCACACGGACAGGAACCAGGTAATACATTTGTTAAACAAACGTACCTTGTTACAGCGAGAGTGTTAGTACCAGATTAATAGACTTCTTCATTGAAATTTTTGCCAGGATAGGGGAGGAGCTTTGTTTCCCAGAAAATGAGTTTGGGGAAGGCTTCAATACATAGTCCATTGGCCTGTGGTTTAATGACAGGTCTCAGTAGGATTTCATGTCCTTCCCTCATCTTCCCACGTTAGTGATGATAGTCATAATAAAAATACATTCCTGGTAGGCTGAGATCTTGTCTTATCCTGTTTTTGCCTTGTGCTCAGCTGGGCATTGTGCATGTGAGTATATTTCATGAACGTGCCTAATGATGATGAACTAGACAGACTTTCTAATTTTTAATTTTTTAATTTTATTTTTTGTTGAAGTGTAGTTGATTTACAGTGTTAGTTTCAGGTATACAGCAAAGCAATTCAGTTATACATACACACTTTTTTTTCAGATTCTTTTTCATTATATATTATTACAAGAAGTTGAATATAGTTGAATATAGAAGTGAATATGTGCTATACAATAGGTCCTTGTTGTCTATCTATTTTATGTACAGTAATGTGTACCTGTTAATCCCAAACTCCTAATTTATCCCACCCCTGCCCTTTCCCCTTCTGTAACCATAGTTTGTTTTCTGTGTCCAGAGACAGACATTTTTAAAAGGTAGAGTCAAAGATTGTCAGACATGGGGAAAAGCTAAGACACTATCTAAATCAGTGGTCCTTAAAATTTTAAATCCCAGACCTCTCTGAGAATCTGTTGAAAACCCTGAATCCAATTCTTAAAAGACACATACACATCAAATTTTCCTCTAACTTCTAGGGATTCATTGACCTCCTGATACTGTTCCTTGGAACCCAACTAAATCCTTGATCTAAACCTATCCCTTCTTCTATGATGAAGAAAGAACCAAAGTTCACAGAGATTTGGCTAAAGTTAAATAAGTAGCTTAGTAGAAGGGCCAAGACTAGACCTCTTAATTTCATAATCTGTCCTATCACACAGTCTCAAAATAGAAAAATCTCTCTCCCTCCTTTTCAGGTCACGTAGTTAAGCTCCAAGATCACAGTTGCTCTTCAGATGCTTCAGTTAAATGAGCTAAATGC